AACCTACTTTCATTGTTTTGATAGTAAATTTAGGGAGACTCCAAAGGAAGCCACTCCAAGTTCTCTGAGAGAAGTGGGATACAAATGTGATAGCTAAATACAGATGGGAAATTTTAGATAAATGAACAAACAGATTTATGAAAGTATGATAAGGAATAAGACCTAGAAAGAAGCTAATATAGCACTACTACTGAAAGAGGGTCAAGACCCAGCTATAACTAAGAATTATAGCCCAATCTTTTTGTTAAATAATGACTATAAACTTTTTACATCAATATTAGCAGATAGACTGAAAAAGATTTTGTTGGACTTCATACATGAAGACCAATGTGGCTTTTTACCCAAAAGACAACTGAGAGACAGTGTGAGAATAGTGGTAGACATAGTAGAATATCTACACAACATACAAGAAGCAAGCAGCTCAAAAATGGAAAGATTTACAAATACCTACAGCTGAAGAATGGATGTTGAAATTAATGGAACTGGCAGAGATGGCAAAACTGGCTATTCTGATTGAAGAAAAGACATTGTTGGGTTTTGTTTCTGTTTAGAAACCACTCTTGGACTTTTTACTTGAGACTAAAAAAATGAAATTCTGATTTTCGGATTTGATGACTGATTTATGTTATAACTATAGAAATATTTTGAATTAATCCATTTTATTTTGTTGTTGATGATATAGACTTATTTTGTAATTTTTTAAACATTAGAGTAAGAGGTAGACTTATTATGTAATTTTTTAAATAATAGAGTAAGAGGCAAATGTATTTTATATCTATACCCGTACCAAAGAAGGTTGGAAGGTGTTTTTTTCCTTCTGTATTCTTTTTTGCATTTACATTTTCTTTTTAATTTTTCTATATTTTATCCTTTTCTGAAATTTAGTAAAACTCTTTGGAAGAAAAAAAAGTATGGTAAGAAATAGAGAAGTATTTCTTTCCCCCTATAAAATAAGAGAAGTATTTCTTTCCCCCTATAAAATAATACTATCAGGAACATTTTTTTCATTCCAATGGCATCACAGGATTTGATCTTTCATCACTCTTTGGCATTTCAAAGGAGTCTTCAAAGCTTTCACCAGCCTCCTTTGTAAATCCCATAAAGAGGCATTGTCCAGGATTTCTTGTCGTGGCTGTTCCGTGTCCAGATCCTTTTCTTGATTTGTCTTTTGTATTCTCATTTTGGTAATCTCAATTTTGTTGTCTTCCATGCCTTCAAACTCTGTGATGTCTATGTCAGGTAAAAGTTTTTAACATTTTTTCTCATCATCTTCTAAAAGTTTATCCATTGAAATCTGCATCCTTTCTGAGATAATAGTTATTAAAGTCAAAAGAAAAAAACATCCCCCCAAAAGGCAATGATAACCCCCTTTTGAATTCTTGCCAAAGAAAACTACATAGTCAGCAGCAAAGGAGCATAGTTCATAAATAGTCTGCCATTAATGCTTTTCTAAAAATAATTTTGAAAAAACTTCTTGCTATAAATAATAAATTCATTTCTCACCATGAGGGCAGACATCCAGAACTTAGCCATATATGGATTATATTCTTCACCACCAAATGCATAAAAATGTCTCACTATGTGTATAAAAAAAGCAGTCAATAATTACTTTAGGTACAGCTTATACAATTCATTCTGAAAGTAAAACAAAACTTTTAAAAGAAAGTTACTGGTTTCTGCAAAACCAAAGAATGACCAGGATATGCATCACTGTTTCCAATTGTAAACAAAAGGTTTAATAAAATTGCCCTTCAAGAAAAAAAACTGTGATACAACAATTTTTTTTTTATCTGCGCTCAGTCGTTACTGACCCTGCAGTGACTGCTTGGACGAGTCCTTGCAGTTTTCAAGGCAACTGTTTTTTTGGAAGTGGTTTGCCAGCGCCTCCTTCCTGGGGCAGAGCCCGGCTGGCGAGCGCAGGAGGCGGAGTTTCCGTTGCTTCGCGCCCTTTTCGGCCGCACGCGGTTTTTCGCGCTTGCCGGCAACTGCGCCCGACGCCTTTTTTGCAAGGCGCCGCCAGCATTTTTCCTCCCACCGGAGTG